ATAATTAAGTCGAGTTTATAAGATTTAAGTAAAGTTAAAGTGTTTTTTTGCTTAAGTTGGTTGTTCAACCCTTTTACGTTAAGAGTTGCAATTTTTAAGTAGTGTTTGTTGCTCATGAGCTATATAAAGTAGTGCAGACAGTAAATCTAGAAGCTATATACCCTATTTTGGGTTTTCTTATATGGGGCTGGTCTGTTTGCATCAGGATTCTAGTTTGCTAGAGCTTTTCGATCTTTCTTTTTCTTGCGCACTGTTGTGAAAGATTTCTCTTCTATGTTATCAATTTGGGGCTAAGTGGTTGCATTATTGTCAATAAGCACTACTGGGGAGCTAGAGAGGAGGAGTTCTTCTCTTGGTGCAGTTGCAGCGGGAAATGGGGTGTCTGGTGCTAAATCTGTTCCATCATTATTTTCATAGAGGTTTATGTTAGTGGTTTTCTGAGCTTTTTCAAACAACCAGAGATTTTCAGTAATTTCGTTATCAACTGGGACAGAATCAGAGGAGGAGGCAGTGGTCATCTGAGGGACCAAAGAATTTCTATCCTCATTACAGGTATCAGAGTCTGGGAGAGGTACGTCTGGCTTGTTAGCTGCTGAAGGCTAATTTAATTTTTGTCTTCTATTAGCGACATATGCCTTGTATTCCTGTTAAAGCTCAAGAGCTTCTTTGAATTGGTCACAATCTTTTTTGATATGCCCTTCTTTGTTACAAAAATAACATATTTTGGGGCTGATCACCATTCTGTGGTAACTTTGTTGTCAAGAAGAATATAGAAGCGGGGGATTCTTTTTTCTAAATCTGAGTCATCTGTGGTTTCGAAGGAGACTATCCACTGATCAGTTAAGTATAGAATACCCTCAATTAGCAGAGGCCTAATGGAGGCAATTTTGCCTACATCACCAAAAGTGGCTTGAATCTCGCATGAAATCTCTTCTTTGTTTCCTTGTAGAACATTTCTAATTTTGACAGACAGGAAAGATCTTCTTGCATTGGTCGGGATATACTTATAGTATACTTTATTAAAAATTTCTATACCCCCTGGTGGCGTAGAGCTTAAGTTTTTTTTTGTTTATAAATACTAGTTCTAAATGTGTGCACACACCCTGTGAATATGAGGCTTAGCTGCTAAAATATCACCCCCTGCGGTCTCAAAGAGAGAGACCATAATTTCGTTTAGGAAACTGTCAAGATTTCCTATATCAATAATAAGGGCATTATCATTTTTGGATCGTATTTCTCTTCTTGAAGAGAAGGATGAGAAAGTTGATTGGCCTCTTTTGACTCTTGCAAAGAGACTAGACCAGAGTTTTGGAGAGGGTTTGTTGCTACTGTTAGTAGTAACAGTCTTAGATGCTGAAAGATACGTATCGTGTATTTTCGTGTTTGTTGTTTCCGTTGTTGTGTTTACCTGGTTTTCTTGCAATGTTGGACATGTTTTAGGGCTAGACGCGTCTGTTTTGTTATTTGTAAGCAGTTTTTTATTGTTCGTTCTTGTTTCGATTTCTTAAAAAACTTGCTCATCCCAGCTGGGTCTATCATTGATTGTAGAGCTTTGTTGTAACAAATTTGTTGTTGCAGCTTGGCTATCCTCTGTAGCCATAGGTCCTTTGCTTACAAGTAGGCCATTTGTTTTGTCTAATAGAGATTGTTGCTTCTCTAGAGGGGGCTCTAGTATCTTAGTTTTCTTGTTTTTATTAGTTTCTGTGCTAAAAAGTTTCCGTTTCTTAGGAACTAGGGAGGAAACCCCCATTTTGTGCTGGTTTTGAGTTTAAAAGGCTCTTGTGTAGAGTTTATTTTGTCTTTTCTATGTTCTCTCCATTCTAGACGTATATGATCAGGAGAGAGAGTGTGACGATCCTTTTTATTTTTTTTTAGAATTTTATATTTAGATTTTTGATATTTCTACCTTTATTTTAGCTTTTCTCTTATTTAATTAGATTTCTTACTTTACTTTTTTTATATTTAGTTTTTTTTTTTATTATATGAATAGAAAAACAGGCTAGTCTGAAGCCTTTCTGCCAAGATCTAAGTAGAAAAAATTAAATTAAAACCCTTAAACAGAAACTAATTTAAACTTTAAACTCTCAGAAATACAGTGCAATAAGTTGTATTTAGGTATTTGTACTTGGATAATATTAGACTCTGTTTAGTCTTAGAAACTAAAATATATATTTACTATGAAATATATAATAAAACTAAGAGATTACTTTTCAAAACTTACAAACTTTGGATTCTTATATACCTTAATGAAGATATTATTATTAGTTAAGTTTACAGAACCTTTTTCCAAATCAACACTATTTCAATAACATACTAGTAACATAATATTAATACCTCAACTTCATATTACTATTTATTACTTTCTATCTCTTGTACTTCTTGCCAAGGTTGCAATTTTAACTCCAACTGTATATCAAGCTGTTGTACTTTAAAAGTATCAGCTATTTTCTCTATCTAATTTTTGGACAAGAAAAAAGCCAATAAATAGCTCAACCTTAATGCTAATTATATAGATCTTATCTGCTTTGTTGATATTAAATACTCTTTTAATATACCACCTCCATCTACTATTAACATTACCAATTCTATTATCTCAGCTATCTTCCAGAACAATGATATCTCTCTACAACTTGCTCAGTTTGCCTTTGCTAACTTATCCCAAAACCAATTTACTTTCTACACAGATAGTTCAGTTAAACAACTTGGTACCAATTAATGCTCAATGGATATTGGCTAGGTTCAAATTCATAACAACTACATCATTCACAATTTCTCTGCACAGATCTCAAACTGGTCTTCTTCTTATAAAGCTAAACTACTAGCAATACTATCTGCTATTTCAACACTATCCTGAAACTTCAATATTAAAATATTTACAGACTTACAATCTATTATTTCTAAATATAAAAAACTTTTATTTATATCACTACTCTTCTCCAAATATCTTAAATTTAACTTCTAGCCTATCTGGCATATACTTCTTAATATCTTAAAAGTCTTAAATCTCTTTTTATAAAATTCAAGCATATTCTGACAACTTTTTTAATAATCTTGCAGACTTACTTGCTAACAACTACTCCTCTTTCCTAATTTTATATTTTAACTATACTAATTTTTATAACCCATACTCTAATTTACTATAGAAAGAATATTTTGTTAAAAGCTCTACTAGACAATTTATTAAAACAATTTGCAAAGCACATGCTATTACCCTATAGTCTTTACAACACCGTACTCAAAAATAGTCATTCTTTTTTTACTTGATCAAATGAAAGGCCTCTTGGTTATATTTTAACAATAATTAAAAAATCTTACACAACTTTACCAACTCTAAATTAAACTACTTAAAAGCTTTCAAAATTAAATTGCTTCTTAATATGCTACTAATATATGCATACTTCTATTCTATATACCCTTTTATTTTTACACTTGATAATTGCTTTTCTTATAACTACTCAAACACTCCTTTTTACTAGTATATCTGCCCTGACAATACTATTTTAACTCAAACTATTAACTCTTTAATACAGTCAGACCTCTCTAAATGCAAGTCATTAGGATCAGCTCTAGAGCGTGCATTTAGGGAGGGTTGCAATTAAAGAACACTAATAAAATCATAATGTTACTATTATCATGTGATAAATATAGCTTTAGTAGCCTAGAAATGATAAATTTGATTGGCTGATAATCACGTGGTTGCATTAATAGAGGGAGTTTTTATAAGTGAGCCAGGCAATTAGTATACAATTGCAGAATAAAGAACGTACATTTATCTATAAATCCCATCATAGGGCTAGTCTTTTATCATGCATTTAGAGAGGTGTTGCATTTAGGGGAGTTGCATTTAGAAAGGTCTGACTGTATATGAAATTATTTTTAACTCCAATCTCAATCTTTCTATACATCTACTCTACAACCTTATATATACTATCTCTTTATATTTTTTTTTTATTTCTTTACCTTCATCTCTCTACCCTTATTTTCTTTATTTTATACTCAAAGATCTTATATCAATCCCATTAATCCAGGCTCTAAACTCTTTTAACATCTTATACTCTAATATTTCTTAACTTATTATACAAATACTTCTTAAAATTTCTAACTAATTATATTACAAAATATGGATTTCCTACTATATT